CTGGTGGAACCGACCTTCGAATCTCTTCACCCAACACTTCTACTCGAAATGGAAGTAATCCCAACAGTGTGAATCATGTAAAAATAAACAGGTCATTATTTTCGCATATATTATTGTTAGCCAGCCTTCAATGTCATGGTGACCGAGCAGGCATTGGGTCTCAACTGTAGGTTAACAATGAAATGGAATCGCTGTAGCATAAATGCCGCCGAAAATTTTCTCCTACAAGCATACAAAGTCGGCAAACTAGATCTCAACTTTTGCTCCACCGTCACCACCGTCTGCCCGAGATGCATCTCTGCACATTCCCAGCTCTCCGTTTGCAATTGCCGGCTAATAGCTTATGCAATTTTTTGCTTGTGAGGTCTGGAATACGGGCACCAGGATGTCGTCTCCCGGCCACTCTGTCTGAGTGGATGTGGCCTGAGGAGATGAAACAACTTGTTTTTTGCGCTTCCCCAATCGCAAGGCTGGTTCTCCGCCACGGGCAGAAGCCTGTTTTCCTTCATCTGAACCCGCCCACATTTTGGATGAGGCCAAGTTGGCTTGGTACCACTCACCACCATTCATCGGCCCACATAAAACGGTAATTTTGCCAATCGCTTAGTTGGGCTTGTTGCGCAAGGTGGGAACTAAAATGACCTTGTCCTAGTCGAAAGGGATATCGACAAAATGCGTCAAGCAGCTCGAGAGCTCTGCCGTATCTATGCCTCATCTCCTAATTTGCCCCCCAGCGCCGCCCAGTTTTGCTGCCTGCCAATGAGCAAATTGGGCAAGATGAGGGAAAAAGATGGGGTGGTAGAAGGAAGTGTGTCTGAGGCACGAGCCTGTGGACTCGGTGGGCAGAAGGGGCAACAGGAAAACAGTCCTACGGTTTGCTTTGCACACGGCGTCTAGGGGCTGCCAAGTCTGAGAACCGTCGGTCTTTCGAGCACAGGTGGTCGCCCTTGTGTCTGAGGCGGAAAACAAGGCTAAAAGTACACTTTCGGCCACTCTGACCGGCATCTTTTCCTTTTGGTACCGAACCATGCTCATCGGTTGAACTCTACTTGTACTGTTTGTGCGTTTTTGTGCATAAGCATATCAAAATGTACTGGTTTCTGTTCGTGTGTGTAAGGGCTTGTCTGTGCCGCGAGATATCTACCGAAAGTTTGTGAATAAGCCAATAACATTGCATTTCTTGCTCATTTGTATGCTATGATGGCTTCAACTCTCGACCTCGACGAAGGCCCGTCAATTAAACGATTGGATTCCAGGTTGTCAAGGCCAACAATACTAATATGGATCGTTTGATTGTGATTCCGGTGCAGGCTTTCATTGTCTCCATTTATTCTGATAATCTCTTACAGCATATGCCCTCATAGCTCGTTTCCTAAGAAAGTGCTCGATGCAGAAATTTGTAAATTGATCTCACCAGAAGACGATGGCTTCTTTCCATTCGTCTACCGTCGTTTCAGTTTACTGCAACTTTCAAGTTGACACAACTCACGAGACCTTATTCCTCATTTCGTGGGAAAAATTGCTCAGCTTTCTTGCATCATGCCAGTTTGACAACATCAGAAATGGAACTCCCTCTTGCAAGATCTTCATATTAACCAAAAGTCAAGAAGACTAGTCGCCTCTATCCCACAAGCTATTGGCACTACAACCATGAAATTACGCGGATATAGGATGATTCGGTAAGCATTTTGTCATAATAATCCAAGTACCCATACTTGTGTGTGTGTGTGTGTGTGTGTGTGTGTGTAGGTTGGAATCTGAACGAAACAACAATAGAGCTCAACTTCAGTCAAGGTTTACCGACCCAAAAAAAAGTATGACTGGGACTGCGCAAGATCGTTGCTAGCTGTGCGAATGTATAGAATGTCGGGTAGTCAGATCACCTTCATGGTATGATATAAGTTCCATCTCTGAAGATGTTTGTCGTATGACAGAGAACAGTTTAGCCCACTTTAACCCGAAACGAGAGAAGATGTCTCCTGGACTGCGTCAGCATGACGATCGCAGTAACATCAAACAAATGCAGAAAAAGGGTAAATAGCAATTGTGACTTACGAATCTATTCACTCGTCACTTTCATACAGAATTAAAGTCTCCGGAGATTAATTAAAACCAAGTTATTCCATGTAGAAATGATCCAATTTCAACAATAATTTTAAAAAAGTTGTTTGACCTTGTTTCCTAAATTTAGTCATATTGGAAGGAAGATCAAGAGGATGACCGCAGTCTTGGATCAACACTACTAGCTCAGTGGGGGGGATGAGAAAACCAGTGGGGAGTGTGAATGGATTTTAAATAGGTCTAGATATACAAGTAGGAAATTGTGATATTGAAGGTGTGATACGAGGATATAGGATAGTTGAATAGCCCAGGACAGAAAGAAAGATACCACAACTGTTTAGCACACATTTGGTCAAAGGATCGACCTCACTTGTCTCTTTGATGAATTGTGGTGTGGTGCTAAGACTGACCAGGCCAACTGAAGATGCCAACTACGAGGCCGGCAAAACGTATTGGAATGTACCATTTGCACTGTCCGACTTTATAAAGGATT